CCTTTTTTTTTTTTTGAGACGGAGTCCTCGCACTGTCGCCTGGCTGGAATGCAATGGCACGGATCTCAGGCTCACTGCAACCTTCCGTTCCCGAGTTCAAGCGATTCTGCGCCCTCAACCCTCCCCAGGAGTAGCTGGGATTACAGGTGCCTCCACCACGCCTGGCTATTGTATTTAATAGAAGAGGGTTGCTTATGTTGGCCCCAGTGGTTAGACCTCGTTACCCTCGTGATCCGCTCGCTGGCCCTCCCAAATCTGGGTTTAACAGTAGTATATAAAATTGATTTCAAGTTTTTATAGTAAAATTTTAAATTTAAGATAACCATTGAGTTTTGTTAAATGTTTGAACTTCAAAGTCAAATATTTGAAGTACATTCATTATATAATGTTAGAGAAGTACATTTAAAAGTTCAAAATTATTCTATAAAATAAGGGCCATTCATTTTTAAAAGTCTTACATTTTGAATTACAATTCAAAATGAAATTAGAAAACTTACTTGTCAATTGATGCTTTAACCTTTACCTGATAGTTTAGTTCTGGCAATTTTATTAATAGCCTGGAAAAAGACATCAATAAAAAAAAAATCAAAGATAAAAATCAAAAGTGTTTAAAAACCCTTTTTTATATTTAAACATTCAAATATACTTATGAAATATGCATATAAATAAACCTTACATAATCTACAGTTTGTGTTTTAAAAATGTACAATGCCTTTTTAGTTTGCCATGTTACTAATGTTGACATCAGTCACTTAATAGCATTATTGACAAACACTTGGAACTGTTTCCATATTGCTTCAGTTGATGTTTGCTGGATAATACATTGGCGAGGTCAGAAAAAAGCTATATATTTTGGTTAAAGCCCAAATGTAGGTTAGATGTATAGATATAAAAAATTGTTGTATGGCTTCATTTTATCCTCATATTACCAAAAAAAAAAAACCAACTTTGTAAGCTTTAATGATAAGTGTTTTATGGTGAACATACTGAGACAGAACTCTAGTAAAATATGGAAAATCACAACTCAAATACATTTGAAATCTTTCAAAACACTATATTTAAGTAACAGCAAAAATGTTCATAAAAAACCCAAACTTCAAATGAACAAGTAATTGAAGTTCAGTGTAAAAATTCCTTTAATTCCTTCTGGTGTCAGCCCATCCTTTATTCTTTTGCTTTCTCCAGCTCCTCAGATTTCTGTCCTGTGATGTAACCTACCTGTGGGTTCAGTGCAGTTTCAGAGATAGTCATTCGATCCCTCACATATTCATTCATTTACTCATGCCCTCATCCTAAACTTTGCTCATTCACTCAGCATGCATTGAGCTCCTAATATTTACCCAGTATACCCTTAGGTACCAGATAACTGATGTAGCAGAGACTGCAGAAGGGAGAAAAGTGGACGTGGCTCTATGTAAAAGGAGGGAGTCCAGGCACACAAATGGAATATAGAGAATATGGTGGCAAGCAACTCCCTGGCATTAGAGAAATGAAATCATAGCTCATGGACAGCCCAAACAAAAGGGTGGGTAGAATGTTGCAAAGGCTCTTTAAAAGTCCTGTATGAGGCACAAGATTGGTTTAGGGTTTGGAGTATGTTGAGTATGCAGTGATTGGTAGTGAATGGTGAGAAGGGAGCATAGTCACATAAAATAAAGCCAGATGTTTTTCCTCTCCACCTTCCTTTCTATACTACTTCAGGAAGGATCTGATTTACTGCAAGATGCTGACAAGTCCCATGGAGTCATTCTTCCCCTTCAAGGTCATTTTTCCCTTTGAAACAGGAGGATGCAACGGTATGGCAAAGAGGGGTTTTAGGAAAACCTTGAGTAAAGGATCACCTATCAAGACGGTGGGGAATAGGGTGCAGAGGAGGAGGAGGGGGACCTACCAGGTACAAGAGGAAGACAGAGCCTACAACCAGGGGCTAATGTTCTATGCCTCTGGCAATCAGTTCACACAACATGCAAGCGGTGCTGATTCAGAGTTAGAATTTTTTGCTAGGCAATCCCTACTCATCTCCCCTTTTGTCCCAGAGAGCATCTTAGACTTACTATATCATCTATAGGAGTGTCTCAAGGAAAAGTAGAATGTCCACCACTTCTCCATCCTAGTTCACTCTCCTCCGAGTTATATAGAGATGTGGGAATGAGGAAGGAACAACTTTTGATAAGAATGCCTATTTTTAAATTTTACTTTATTATTCTATTTTATTTTTTGAGATGGAGTCCCGCTGTTGTTGTCCAGGCTGGAGTGCAATGGTACAATGTACAATCTCGGCTCACTGCAAACTCTGCCTCCTGGGTTCAAGCGATTCTTGTGCCTCAGCCTCCCAAGTAGCTGGGATTACAGGCATGTGCTAACATGCTCAGCTAATTTTTCTATTTTTAGTAGAGATGGGGTATTGCCATGTTGGCCAGGCTGGTCTTGAACTCCTGACCTCAGGTGATCTGCCATCCTCAGCCTCCTAAAGTGCTGGGATTATAGACATGAGCCACCATACCTGGCCAAGAGTGCAATTTAAAAAGGAACCTAGCCTCAGCCTTTTGTTTTCAGTTCTTAAATCTTGGTGCAAAATTCACACAAAGAAACTGATTAAGAATGTTAATGATGTCTTAAAAATGCAAACTGAAGACAAATGCCTTCTCTTTAAAAATGGAGTTCTAATAGTGATATGTGATCAGCAACCCTATCATAGAACCCTAAACTGCTCTGTACCATGGCATCACCACCTCTTGACCCCGTTAGTCTGTGGTTTCAGCTTTCCAGAGGTGACCTAGTGATTAGGCATTTAAAGCTTTAGTTCTTGGAGTTGCAGGCATGATGAGAATCTTTGAAAGTAAGAAGTCAAACTCATTGTTCTCAGCATCATTAGGGAAAACTATAAGTTTTGATTGCTCATGCTAATAGAAAGGATCAAATTCACAGAGAAAGCAACAGTAACACAAAAGTTATGTCTTTAAATCAGGTACACAGTAGGGATATATGGAAAACTGCGGTATTGGGAGTTTTTGCGGAAAGTCCAATAAGCCAGTTACTGGGTAATCTCAGGAGATGAATGTGCCACTATGTTTCCTGGATAGGATATTCAAAGCCTTCCAGAATCTGTCCCCAATCTGTCCTCTCAATTCTGTCTCCCCCTGCTCCCCACGATTACCAGACAGACCTAGGAAGCCATTATTTCTGTATTCCCACTCTCCTACAATCCTCCTCCCCTCTCCCAATCTTTCCAGTCTTTTCTCAAGTCAACCTTTTCAGCAATTAATTTAATTGTGCCTGATTTTATGATTCCATACTTTCATGTCCTCATCTGCACTGTCATGCTCTTGACAAGCAGGGCTCTCATCTTCACATTTCTGTGGGTATTTCCCAAAGCTCAGAGCTGGGCACACAGCAGATGGTTCAATAAAGAACAGCTGAATACAAGCCACAATGAGAGAAATTGGCCATGATTATCCAGAGACTTTAGCTCCACAAACACACGAAATCATAGATGTTTTGCCTACCTTAGTTTTACAGTGAACTGAATGAGGGTTTTAAGTACCAACGGCCTCTGAGGGTGGGTTGGCATACATGGCTGTCGCTCAACCACAAATGAGCTAGATGAAAAGGAAATAAAGCACGTCATTTGAAAACATTGAAAATATTGAGACTGAAAACCACAGAGGAACAGGATGCTATCCACTCATAAAGTCCAAATTTTCTACACTTAGAAGATACTCAAACCCCCAATTAAACTCAGATCTTTACAATGACTTTTTATAAATCATTTAACAGTAGTAAATGAATCTTAATTGTTATAATTGAGCCATGAATAAAAGCCCCAGTCCATTTAGTAATTTTTTTTTCTTTTGAGAAGGGTCTCCCTCTGTTGCCTGGGCTGAAGTGTGGTGGCACGATCAAAGCTCACTGCAGCCTCAACTTCCTGGGCGCAAGTGATCCTCCTGCCTTGGCCTCTTGAGTATCTAGGACTATAGGCATGTGCCGCCATGCCTGGATAAGTTTTTTTATTTTTTGTAGAGATGGGTGTCTTTTTATGTTTTCCAGGCTGGTCTACAACTCCTGAGCTCAAGCAACCCCTTGCCTCAGCCTCCCAAGGTGCTGGGATTACAGGGTGAGTCACCATGCCTGGCCAAAAATAAATTTCATGACTTTTTTTTGGACTAAATATTAGGATTTCTGGTACATGTTAGTATTTTTTGTTTAGATTAGCTTATAAACATGAAAAAGTCCTCCATCCTTTGTTTCATATGCACATAAGAAAAAACCCTTGAAACTTTTTCTAAAATGTGAAAACTGAGCTGTAGGTGAGTGACATGACTTAGCTTGTGGAAAACTGAGCCAGTTGGTGAGAGAAGTGTTGATGAATAAATAGTGAAGAGTAGAAATGTGGTTTCTGAAACTTTCTGGGGTTCTATTCACTTCTCCCTGAGGCTTATTGTTGAATACTTCCCTGCCACTCTTCCACCTAAACGCCAAAACCTTAGGCAGCGTGTTCTTACTTCACAGAATGCAGGATGCCATTGATAGCACTTTACTTACTTCTTGAAAAGGTTGTAGATCAAGAAGGTGACTCTCTCTAGCATGTGAGTTCTTTGCACTGGAATGGGATCACCTTCATACGTCATTTTGGTAGATTGTTCTTCTAGTTTCTCCAATTGCCTTCTGAGTTGAAAAAGACTTTCTGCCAATAGTGTAAAGCTATTGAACAGCAAATGAAAATCAAAGATAGTTTTTCCATTTAATAATAAAAAAGGATTGTAACAATGGGTCATAGTTAATAAATGTTAAATTATTAATTATTAAATTAATTAAATGAATCACTTAATTTGATTTAGGTTAGTGACACTTCTTTATTTTTATTTTCCTAACCCATTTTTTTTGAATATGCATATGTTAAATATTTTTATTTAACATAATAATGTTTTTTTAATGTTTTCTCATTTAAACCTGCAATTATATATGTCATTATTTATGAAATTTTATCAACATCTGGAACCAAATCCCTTTTAATTGTTCTTTGTTTAAGCTTATTAAGCATATGTATGTTAAAAATGTGGCACTCGCTAAAGGGCAAAAAAAGAGCAAATTTAAAGCCATAAAAAACATGCTATGGTTAATGTTTTCTTATGTAAGCATACTGAAAGAAAAACATATGAAACCCATATGAAAAACATATGAAACGATCTTCCCCCACAATATATATTTTTACAAGTCCTAAGTATTAGCCAAAAGTGATCAATGACTCTCTTTAGAGTATATTTAGAAATGCTTGCCCCTGATAACTGCTTGGAATTTTATTCATTACGCAGTGATCTCACCTCAGAAATGGAGGTGGCGGTGTGGGCCAGAAGCCTGGGAAAGAGTAAGATTGAAATAGACACGGAAGGGACTTCCAACTACAGGAGACAGAACATCTTATCAGACTTGGAAAGTCCACCTCGCCATACAGCAACTCTTTCTACTTACAGTATTCCACATATAAGACTATGGCAAGAGTGGTTGAATCCCTGCTGATTTTTGGTATGAGCTCCATTATCGGTTAAGATCTTTATTGCTCCCTTTATTGTTGTTTTCACAACAGAGTACAGTGACTTGGAGAATCAAAGTGTCTTCTCAAGGAAAATCAATGTTTTAAAATGAGTCAAACTCCTTACATTTCTTGACAAGTAGGCCTGGCAGGGCAGAGCTTTTAGTGAGGGGGTCCCCAGTTACTACATATTGCATTGTATTGACTTGTTCTCTTGGGAACCAATTTTAGATTTTAACTGAACAGTTTCTTTCTTTTTCATATTTTCCAATTGTTCCTTCAGTCAAATAGTCTTATTTTGCATTTATGACATGGAAAACCCTATGAACATTTTAATCTTCTAGTGCAAAGGGTAGTTATCTACATTTCATTGCATGTGTGCGTACATAGATCCGGAATGCCGGGTTGTATTAACCATTTGTGACTTTTAAAAACTGACACATAAAAATTGTATATATTTGTGGTATTTGTGGTATTGTATATATTTGATGTATGTAAACATTGTTGAATAGTTACATCAAGCTGAATAACATGCATTATTACCTCACATACTTACTTTTCTGTGGTAAGAGCTCTTAAAATCTACTTTCTTAGTAATTTTCAAGTATACAATAAATTGTTATTAACTACAGTCACCATAAGGTACAATGGATCTCTTGAAATTATTCCTCCTAACTGAAATTTTCTATCCTTGACCAACATCTTTGACAAAAGAAATCACTATGTTGAAAACACAAAACTAACATTTAAAAGTTGAGATATCTATTTTCAAGATTTTGAAACTAGTACTTCTTTATTCTGTCCTTAAAGAAAGTATATTGCTGGTTTCAAAATTTATTTGAGTCTTTTAAGATTGATATCTTGCATGTGAAAATTCAGCATTCGATAGATGCTTTCTTTGATTTCCCCATGAGAATGAAAACTAAGAATACTTATACTACTCGTTTTCAACTGTAGATTTCTCAGGTGCTAATAAGCCATCAATAAGCTGAATGAACTGATGTTGCAGTCTAAACCTGCATTCTCTGGCTGAGTGACACTGAAGTTTTGTATTTCCTGTGGTTTTCACTAGAAACTGCAGTCAATTCGTTTTACCAGTTCTGAAGCTGGTCGAGCCCGTTGTGGAGTGGACCCCCGATGCAGGCGATTTGCTGCCGCCGCTTCCAGTCTTGCAGCTCTTCTATGAGCATGTTGTTCATTAACAGGTCCGTCTCATGGATGATTTGGGTCATTTTACTAAGAGCCTCCTAAAAACAAAGGGGACTACTGAAAAGAGTTTCATAAGAAATAAGTCACTTAGAATTCAATTTACAAAACTATTTGACCTGGTAGACAAGGGCTTGGTTAAAATTTTGACCAAATATTTTACTAAATACTAGCTTCTATTTGCCAGGCCTTTTCAAACAATTAAATTATTGACAATAAAAGATGTCATGAGAAAAGAAGAATGGCCACAGTTTAACATTCTCTTCATGTGTTTCAGTATAAATATATTGAATTTGTAACTCCTGTGGCAATGATATTGAATCTTGTAGTCACAAAACTGTATAGTTGCTTATTAAAAGGATATTTATATATTTAATTTATTTTTAAAATAAAGATGGTTATCCATTTATATTAAAATGAGCTGACTAAAATTTGAGCCTTTCTGTGTTAATTTTTATTAGGACTGTTTCTGGGTTTTGGAAGGCATAATGGAGAATTATAACTTTCAAAGGTCTAGGGGGTAGAAGATATGAATTTCTGTTCTGGCATTATTGTAAGCTATATGAATGTGAGCAAAGTATTTAATTTTGCTGAAACTTGGTATATTCTCATTTATACAACCAATTGAATGAACTGAATTATCGTCAATGTTCCTTCTCTTTTTAAAATGTTATTCCTAAAGTAGAATAAAATGTCATGCATAAAAATATATAGCATAGATTTATTATGCATAAAAACATTAACTTTTTCTTGAATTAACTACTTGCATACTTAAAATCTGATATATAACTAAGTTTATAATTAATTTAGGGTAAAAATAAATGTTGTACTTGTTTGTGCTCACACAAATTCCTGCACAAAAAATTGAGCCGAACTTTTAGAAATGAACTACTGATTTATTAGTGACTGGTTAAATTTCAATTGCATTTATTTTTCAAGATAGGTAGAAAAGTGAAATAGAGATGTTTCCCCTCCTTAAAAATATTTAATTAAACCAGAAAAAAAGTTCTTGCTCTCCTTGGAAGAAGTTAGATTGAATATGTTCAGTTGCCAATGAACTATTTTGAAATCTAGGAAATTGCTTAATACTACGTCATTTCTCAGAGTAGAAACTAGAATATTTTTTTTTCCAATAAGATTTTAGCAGTCATCAAATGCTATTTTAATTATATATGTTCAGTGGAACCCATCTCAGCATATTAAGTACTTAAACTAAAACAGCCATGTCTGAAATAATGACAAATAAAAATCATGTAAAAGTTCCACCCTGAAATTAATGTTAGCTATAGTAAATGTATCACATAAGCAAGATAAATAGTCCCTAAAGAGGTCCAGCATTGTAAACTCATGAAGAGAAGCATGGCAAACAGCATGGGACTGTTCCTAGAAACCTTGCCGTTTTTTCATTCAGTAAATGGAACTGATAAATCTGACAGCTTGATTCTTTTCAGTTAGTCTAAGTTTAGAAAAAAGGAGAAAAATAGTCAAAAGCCCAAATTAAAATTCTTCACTAACCTTTCTCTTGAAATCGAGGCTGTTAAGCATTTCCTGCAGTGTCAAAACTTCCTGATTCATCATGGCGCTATTCTTGTCACTCTGATCTGCAAAGGTAAAGAGATCAGATTTAGAGTCCTCGCCAAGTCAAAGCTCTCTATTCCTGAAAGTCAAGTCAGCCTCAATCCACCATCCTAAAACAGCCCTGCCCCAGAGAACTTACGTGGTAAGAGACTAATTGGGTTCACTAGAGGTGAGCTTGGAAGTCTCTGTCTGCTCATTTTGCCAGAAAGAATTACATCCAAGCATGAAAAAAAGGACCTCTTTATTTTACAGACCTTCAGAAAAGACCATTCTGCACTTGGTGTCCGGTTTTGTTTTGTTTTGTTTTGTTTTGGTGGTGGTGGACAGAGGAGATAAAGTTGCTGTAATGGATTCCTTACTGGATACCTCCACATTAATTATATACTTGGTTATTTGGTAAAAGTAAGGAAGGCGGGGATTACCCTTTGTGCCCCTGATTAAATAATATTTGACTCTCTGTTGCCTTCACCTACCCCTCCCTGCTCTGCTTCATATGCAGGTTTTATGAGAAACTGCCTCATAGAGTTACAGTCTTATCTACCTAGTCTCATGAACTAATAAAAGACTAAGTTCTTTACTTTCTCCCACTTTTTTTTCTTTTTTTCCCCAAAATGCTCTAGCTTCATTGTAAAACTAGCAGTAGGCCAGAGTTGTAACTTAGAAAAATATCTGACTGAAAAAAAAGATTTATCCTTTTTCACATGGGGATACATACAATAAATAAACATTATATTATTTAATTTGAACATTAAACTTTATTGACATAGTGATGGGGCTCAGAAAATGACACCCCAAAATAATGGAACTAAAGCAGCAGCCTCAAGGTCTCTCTCAATCCTCTGTCTCTCCACAGCACACATGAAGTGCTCAGAAGCTCCCTGATCTACCTCGAAAATGGACCCTTAAGAGGAACACAATTGCCTTGGATCCCTTCCCTGAAATTTCATTAATCAGATAAACTTAAAATTCATAAAACAGAGGAAAAGTCTGAAAATTAAACACCACACCTAGAGCTCAAACTTTGTCCCAAACTATTGTTTGTTCTCAGGTTCCAGTCAATTCTTCAAGAGTATTATTTACTAACCACTGTCTGAGCATTAGGTCCATTCATTAACTTTAAAAATCATTTGCTTCTACATTTCCAACCTCCCTTTCCCTTATGAAGAAGGGCATATCAACATCTGTACCCCACTGGATTACTGGGTAACCATTCTCCTGCTATTCTCCCATGCTGTGCATGTTAAATTAATTTGCATGCCTTTTTCTCCTATAGATCTACATTTTATTAGTGCATATTCAATGAACCTTCAGAGGGTGAAGGGGGAAGGTTCCCTTTTTGCTCCTACAATGGCAAATGACTGTTTATACCAACCATTCATGTTCATGAAAAATGGGGACTGAGAATGCTGATTTGACTTGTGTAATTGTGAAAAAGAGGTCCCAGAACAACACTGGGGCAAATTTCTCTACAAAACAGGACTAATCTCTAGGAACTCATTTCTGGTTGTAATGATTCACAAATTTACTACCTCCTAGATCCCATACAAAGCAAAATCTTGCTTATGTAGCATTTTGGCAACTGAAAACTTCTTTAGCTAACCTTTCCCATCTTCACCAAGGATATAATAACTTGTTTCCCTTGTATTTTTCTTTTCACTTATAACAGGATGGGACAAACAAAATAAATATTTGTGGATTTAGGTGATAAAAATAATCATTTTAATTCATAATGGACATGAAGCACTGAAAAAGTGACTCAAATCATAACAAATTAAGTTCAAAATAACCTAATTTTTAAAATTAGTAGTTTGCATATAAAATTTGGAATAAGGCTGCCTTCAATGAACATCACTTGATTACATTTATAGTTGTTCTAAACCCTTTTAGGGTCATGAACTCCCCCTTTGATAATGAAACCCAAGTTTGTGCCATTTCTTCTGAATGGAAAAGTTGTATGTACAAATAATTGTGAACATTTTGAATAATATTTCCTGGAAGTCAAGGCATCTTAAGCATATCAGGAGAAGAACCCAAAACACCTCATCTTCGCGTATGAAAAGTTATGCTTGACCACAATCATTCATATTTCCTTCAAGATACATTTTAGGCCAACATTTTAATAGTCAAAGATGATTCTGTAAATGGAAAGTTTCTTTCTGATTTATTTTTTTGAATTATTTTGAAATAATTTTAGAGCTACAAAAAAGTTGTACAAATAGCACAGAGTTGTCATATATCCTTCACCTAGTTTTTTCTATTCTCTTACATAAACATAGTAAGCACAATGATCAAAACAAGTAAATTAGCATCAGCACAATTCCATCAACTAAACTAGACCTAGAATCTTGCCAATTGTTCCATTAATTGCAACATACTTTAAACTATTTTTCTATTATTATTTGTAAATCTTAGGTCTTGTAAATATTCTCTTCCCCTTCATTTTAGGAAAACACCTAGTTGTAAACAATTTCAGTGTTAAACTACAGAAAAAATAGTAAAATAAATTGCAGTGACCTTACATTTTGACATTTATGCAATTATTAAAATTATGTTTTTGGAGACTTTTTGACATGATAAAATACTTAAAATGTTAAATGCAGTACACAAAATTATATACAATATGATTTCATTTTTTGAAAATAAATACATAGATGTGTATGTATGTGAACATACAGAGAAAACGCTGGAAGGAAATATATTTTGACAGTATTTATCTGTGGATAGTGAAATTTCATCAGATTTTTTTAATGCTTTTGCCTATATTTTATGCTTTCTTCTGTGAAACACATTTCTATTTTATAATCTTAGAAAATTATATTATTAAAATACTACTTGTAATTTTCTGATCATGTTAGGCAATTATTATTACTTTTGTTTCTGTGATAATTATATTTTAATTCTATAGGAGAAGGTTTTTATCTTTTAGAGACCTATGCTGAAGTAGGGGTAATTGCTCATGCAGTGTGAAATTTATGTTGCATTGATTGGTAATTTACTTGGAATTAGTTGGATATGCATGGATACACACACACACACACTTAAACACTCACACACACACATATTTATATGCAGAGAGAAAGAAGCAGCAAAACAAGAAAATACTCCCTGTATTTCCCTAGGCTCATCTAAGGAAGTAGATCAAATTTTTCAACTCTGTCAGTGAAAAAACTCTACTCAAGATGCCTTTTTGTCTCTAGGCATAATTACAGAAAAAACAAAAACTTACCCATTGTCTGAATTGTTTTATACCTGTAGTCAAATTCGTCTTGCAGGTCTTCTAAGTATTTAGTATCTTGTTCTGTCATCTTTTCACAAAAGAAAACATACTCACTCTGCTGTTACAATTAAGCACGTCAATCAAACAACATCGTAAGTATTTTAAAAAACTGCTTGGTGCTTCCAGTCTCCAACAGCAACCAAAAACCATAATGAACCCACGCTTCTAAAGAGCTAATTCATATGAAAGTTGGATAATGCTGGAAGAACCAGATTGAACTTGCCCTTCCAGCTATTCTCTCTTTCTATTTGCCTGGAAGTCTTTCAGCCACTACTTGCTCATTTCTTAATTACTTCCAAATGATGCTATGCATATAATCTTTTTTTAATTGGAGAATATGAATATTTTTGCCCTTTTTAGAACTCGTGGGTATTTCATGTAACTCTGTACTAATGTATCAATGATCACTTTTTGCTGAAATCTTCATTTAAATATGCTGTAGTTTATGACCATTCAGCTTAAATATTTTTTCTTTCTATTTCCTGAAATACGCCTATGCTTCTACTGTGTCTCCTGTTATTCTGTCTTTAAGATTTTTACTTTACTTTTCCCCAAACCTGGTGATGTTTTCCTGCTCAGATATAATAGTAAATGTCAAGATCTGTGCTAAAGGCTTTTTATATATTATCTCCTTCAGTCCTCACAACACCCATGAAGTAGGTTATCCTCACTTTTATAGAGGAAGAAGCAGAGGCCACGAGATGTGAAGTAACGCACTTGTCCAAGGTCACTCAGGTGCTCAGTGAGAAGTTTGTGGGAAGTCCAGCAGTCTAACCCTGACCCCACCCTTAACCAAAGATAGACCCACTGCGCTTCCTAGATTCAGACTACTGTACTTCCTTTTGTTCTTAGAAAAGTCAAACTTTCTACTGCCTGCTTATTCCAAGAAGTCTTCTCTAAGGAAACATATATCTACAACAACAATGCATTCATCACAAATTTTAAATTTCACTCAGAGTTAAATTTAATCCAAATTTTAAATTATTGGTTACAAAAAGTATAGAATTTGGAGGAAAAGAGTCTGAATTTGTGTCCCAGCTCTATGACTTTTTAGTTGCATGGACTTGGGCAAATGTCTTTGCATTTTAGCTTCTTCGCCTGTAAAAAGGGGTGTGGGGGTGGGAGGAAGAAGGATAACAGTATCTACCTCAAGGAGTTGTTATAAGGATTACATTAGTTTGACTGCTTAAAACAGTGCCTAGTACCAAATATATGCTTCATAAGCAGCAGCTATTATTACTCTTCTAATCCCTGTTATCTCATTCTCTTAATGACATTCTCCATATTTATAAACCTTAGAAAAGAAACAAAGTAGTAGCTATTGACTACATGATATACTATCTACCCACCCATAGTAATAACAGCTACCAATTTTGTGCAACCTGTGCTGTGCCTATACCTTACATAGATTATCCTTTCAGCAACCTGCAAAGTAAACTATTTCCATTTTTCATGTGAGGAAACTGAGGCCCAAAGTCATACAATAATACATACTCAAGCTAGAATTCAAATCTAGTCTAGTTTAGCTTCAGTCTTTACTCTTTCCTTCCACTATACCCCAATACCACTTGCGGCATTTCGCTTTGATGCTAAGTTTCTGCGGAACAAAGTCCCACGGAAGGCTCTGAGCTACTGAACTCATGGAACCTACATGCACGAGAAAATGTACCAAAATAAAATATGATAGCTTTAAAGCAGAGATACACTGTGGTTCCATCTTTTGATCTCAAAATTAATTAAAAGCCAAAAGAAGGCAGTATCTTGCAGAATCTTCTAATGAAAAGTGTATGAAACCAATGCCAGATCTCTGAAAAGTCAATGCTATGGTAAGTAATTAAGGGTCTTCTAGAGTATATTGTCATCAGTAATTGCAAAAGGTGAAAATACCCAGCAACAACCTTCAAAAGCTCTCTGAATGATCTGAGAGCTACATTCCAAACATTCCACAGAGAAACCGAGGTTACGGCATAAGTGGGGGAATTACATTGATTGGAAAGCATTGCTTTGCCTAAAAGTCAGACCAGGCTTCCTGGAATCAGCACCTGGGACAGGGATTAGGTACAAGGGATTTGTTGAAGGAGTCCTCTTGGCAGAAAGGACGTACAGGAGAGGGAAAGGGAAGGGGATGGAGCTAAGTGAGCATGTGGTCATCACTTAGGTCTAACTTTGGTTTGAGAAACCCAGGAGCATAACCTGCACCACAGGTTAACCCCAACTTGAGGAAAGGGGTCTGGCCTCTCTCCCCACAACCCCGTGTCACTCAGTCATTGTCTGAAGGCAGCCAAAGTCTTCCTGTAGAGCCAATTCTCCAGCGAAGCCATTAGCTGTCAATACTCATAGCAGCTGGGAATCCATGTACAGGCCTGGTAAAGATCTGCTCGGGGCTCCAAAAAATGTGGTCCTCTGCTGCATCCTGCTCCTCAGGATTTTAAAAGGAATTTGTGCTGGATGCAAAATCCATCTGTGCACTTTATTAATGTGCTTAAGTATTCTTACTACAGTAAAATAATAATCTCCTGCCTTTACACACTTGCAGAGTGAGTAGAGCCCTTGGTTTTGACACTACAATGTGCCAAGGTATTTTGTCCTAGGTCTGTCTGATTCCTTCTCACAACAGTGTAAGCCCAGACTTTTGCATTCATGTTTTACTTGTTATGGAGGATCACTAAATCAGAAGTCTGAAAATAAATTTAAACCCTCTTCCTACTATTCAGATAATATATGGGACAGTTGATCTTTAAATATTTATAGTTTATTTATTTTGATGGAATTATTATTTTTATAAATGGCAAGGAAATGAATGCTGTGTAAGTTTTGGAAAGGAAATTAACATCCTATTTTATATGCAACATGGCAGAAAGTCTTATTCAAGACATCTTCACTAGATCAATAAAACTGATAAATCTTTAGATAGACTGATTATGGAAAAAAGAGAAAAATTTATCAATATTAAATGAGAGATGTGACATTACTACAGATTCTACAGATATTCAAATGAAAATAAACATTATGAACAACTTTATGCCAATAAAACAACTTATATCAAATGGACACGTTTCTTGAAAAACACGAATTACCAAAGCTCATTCAAGAAGAAATAGATAACCTTAATAGCCCCATATCAAAGAAGTTCAAGTTGAAGTTAAAATGTCTCCCATAAAGAAATATTCTCATATAAACATAGTATGTGAGAGATATTTATCTTATTAACAAATTGCCCTATGATTTCTGTATACACTAACTTTGGGCACATGGGAGAATGGTGCATAGTTATATGGGGACAGCAGCTAGCCTTTCTAGGTATCTGTATAAGATTACTTACCTGCACACTGTTTTTAATGGCAGCCACTTTGTGCTCCACATTCCTCTGTCTTTCTGAAACTGAAGAACTTTGTAAGGATTTCTCCAGAGGCCCCTGGAAAAAGAATGTCCTGAAATTTCACTGGTTTTGAAAAGGTTTATGACGAATGCAATACATACAGCATACAATTCGAACTGAGATCTGGATCAATGTGATATGAATGCTCTATAGTCATTAAAAAAAGCTGAGATCATGCCACTGCACTCCAGCCTGGGTGACAAAGTGAGACTTCCTCTTAAATAAAGAAACAAACAAATGAACCCACCATATATAATTATAAATATATATATATGAGATCTCTGTTGCTTGAACATGTATATGCATGTATGTATAAATGCATTTGCAAATACACGGACAGATGTATAGATATGTAAACTCAAGTACATTGTGACTGGAAGAATATATACACCAAAATCTTACCAATGTGTTCTCTCTGAATAGTGAAATTACAGATAATTTGATGATTTAAAAAATTCTGTCTCTAATTCTCTATAACATCTATATAACTTTTGAAATTGTATAAAACCAATACATGTAATTTTTAAAATGGTATAATGAAACTGCATTAAATTGGGCCTAAATTTAGAATTGAGGATGTTGGATCTGCTGGGATGAGATTTGTTTTTACTCTAGAACAAAGGGAGTTTATGAAAGAAAACATAAAAATGTTAGTCTGGTTAAGCAAAAAGACAGTTTCTCCAAGCAGAACCTCTTAGGTACTCTAATAATCTGATACTAGGTGTGTTCTTTACATAAAAAGTTCTATAAATATTAGAGGTGAGAGTTAGAGATGTAAGCAGCCCCTTCATCTTAAGTTGGGTGGGGAGCCATGGTTAGAAAGGTTGATAACTAAAATCCGCAGCAAATTCAGTGCAGAAACCTCAAGTAGAACCCATATCCTTGACTCTTGATCAGAAGTTCTTCAATTATACCACACTCTTCCAATTGGTAAAGCCTTTCTAAAATTCTCTTTGTCTCATCAGCCCCCATTATTTGTCTACCTAGTTGAAATCGAATAACCAGTACTTCTTTTGTGGTAGTATGTGGTACTGGCAAATTATTTTCAGAGTGACTTTGATGAGCATATACTCAAACAAACATTTTGACTGATATCTTACATTTGAAGAGAACATGCTCTCACACACACACGTGCACAGACGAATAACTAGAGATAAGAAGGGTTCAGAAAAGGAGAGCTGAGAACACATGTGAGAATATCATATATTTGTAAAAGTATCTTAATTTTTACCCCAAAGACACTGAATCAAACTATATGTACTTTAGAAACTTACTATAGTTTTAAAATTAAATAAAAAGATACCATCCTTCTTCATCTAAAAAATAAAGTTGTCAAAACTTCAAAGTCCTCCCAAAACAGCCATAACCTGACAATAACTAAACATGAGAATTTTTTAAGAGTTAAATAACAGATACTTTTGGCTGGGGGCAGTGGCTCACACCTGTAATCCCAGCACTTTGGGAGGTCAGGATCACTTGAAGTCAGGAGGTCAAGACCAACCTTGGCAATGTAGTGAAATCTGTCTCTAGTAAAAATACAAAAATTAGCCAGGTGTGGTAGCGGGTGCCTGTAATCCCAGTTACTTGGGAGGTTAAGGCAGGAGAATTGCTTGAACCTGGGAGGCGGAGGCTGCAGTGAGCCGAGATCGTGCCACTGTACTCTAACCTGAGTGACAGAGCAAGACTCTGTCTCAAAAAAAAAGAAAAAAAAAGATACTTTTGTTAGACCTTCAAAAATAAATATAATGGTATGATGATATGATTTACTAAATTATGGAGGATGTCACTTGGAAAATTAATTACATACACTTTCCTTTTGTAAGGATTAACTGAAAAAAATATTCATTATAGACTGCATTGATTCCTCTACTTGTCTTTAGTGGGGACTCTGAATTCATCCAGGAAAATGAAATTAAAATATAATCTAAACTATGTTAGGGTAAAGTACATTCACACAATTAACAAGCAAGTATTCGTGGAACTTCTGTAAGACAGAATTCCTGCTCACGGACTGGTTTACACTGTGAGGTAGGAAATGGAAGCTACTAACAGGTGTAGAGCAAGACCAGAACCTACAGGAAGAGGTAGAGTAGGAATGACAGGAATTCAGCTTGGAGGTGATTACTATATTCCTAGGCTAATATTGTAGGACCCTGGAACAGAGTGTGGCCAGTACAAACAGGAAAGGATGTATAGATAAGATTCCAGTCATACACTCTGGAAAGGCATGGTAACTGTCTTAGAATGGGGGTGGAGAAAAGGAACTATGCAAAGATGATACTAAGACCTTGATTGCAAGTGACTAGAAGGATGGTGCCACCACTAACACAAGCAAAAGAAGCTGGAAAAGATTCTTTAAAAATTCCTTCCTTCCTTCCTTCCTTCCTTCCTTCCTTCCTTCCTTCCTTCCTTCCTTCCTTCCTTCCTTCCTTTCCCTCCCTCCCTCCCTCCCTCCTTCCTTCCTTCCTTCTCTTTCTTTCCTTCTTTCTTTCTCTTTCTTTCTTTCTTTCTCTGTTTTGTTTTAAAGACACAGAGTCTCGCTCTCTCACCCAGGTTGGAGTACATGGTGTGAACATAGCTCACTGCAACCTTGAACTGCTGGGCTCAAGTGATCCTCCTATCTCAGTCCCCACAGAGCTAGGACTATAGGCATGTGCCCCATACCCAGCTAATTTTTAAATTTTTTTTTTTTCTGGAGACAGGGTCTTGCTACATTGGCCAGGCTGCTCTCAAACTCTAGGCTTCAAATGATCCTCCCACCTTGGCCTCCCAAAATGTTGGGATTACAGGTGTAAGCCACTGTACCCTGCTAAAGATAAGAATTTCTGTTTCAGAAAAATTGAGTTCAAGGTGATAACAAGATCACAAGGTCAGAAAACATTACCTGGACAGGCATGTTGGCTGCAGCCAATATTCTCCTCTCTTCCCTTAAACAGTTTGAAATAACCACAGCTACATGCATTGGATTTCCATGAAATTTTCCCTGAAAAAAAAAAAACAATGAGCAAAAATAACTAACATAAAGCTTAAATATATGCATCATAAGAAAATATCACCTCTTGAAAAACAACAATCTCCCAATAAATATGTGAAATTATTTGGGATTTGTTCCAATAATCTGTTCCATTAGAAAGTTACAGAAACTCATTTTGTAAACATAGACCCCTAAAGAGAGCATATTTATCTCTTTGTCCTCAAAAATAACTTGCAACAATGAAAAATGGTTCTTGAGCACCTGTTGAGGAAAGAGCTGAACACACACTTAGGAGGGTCAGTTTACTTTAAGTTTTGGGCAGGTTTTTTTTTTTTTTTTTTGAGACGGAGTTTCACTCTTGTTGCCCAGGCTGGAGTGCAACGGCGCAATCTCGGTTCACTATAGCCTCCACCTCCCGGGTTCAAGCGATTCTCCTGCCTCAGGCTTCCGAGTAGCTGGAACTACAGGGATGTGCCACCATGCCCAGCTAATTTTGTATTTTTAGTAGAGACGGGGTTTCTCCATGTTGGTCAGGCTGGTCTCGAACTCCTGAACTCAGGTGATCCATCTGCCTCAGCCTCCCAAAGTTCAGGCAGGTTTTACATAAAAGTTACTTTACTTTAAATTATCATGAACCAGATGGTCTCAAATTTTCACTTGTTAATTATGTGTCATGGTTTGCTTAAAGCATTTGTTTCTGTCCCTATTTGTTACTGTTTGTGTCAACTAGCTCATAACTGCATTAGTACACTAGAGTGAAACTATATCATACATTGTTTCAGCAACTATATTTCTATGACATCTAAGCATATGCATCTTTTATTACCAAAGTTAATGATGCAGATACCGTAAACTGGCAGCCTGTGGGCCTAATTCAGCCATCAGTTACTTTGTGCAAAGTAAAATACTGGAATCCCTTTGGAGAAAGTATGTACTACCCAGGGTTGCCATAATGCCCACCAATGAGTGTCCCAAGCACTCATTTACCTTACCTGCAAGGCCTATGTAGGTGTCTGAGTTTTCCAACCTTAATGTATAGAAGTAATCTGAACAACACCATCATTTTAGTCAATAATATTAAATTTCTTTGTTACTGGACTTTTTCCAGGGCAAGATTAACAGGAAACACAGTAGAAAAATGCATTTATTTAGTTTCCCTCAGCCCTCCTCCCTGAAGCTGGTGCTAATATTTATGAAATGACCAAAAGGTTAGCAGCAGAAAAAATGAAACAAAAATCCACAATGTGGAAAATTATCAAAAATGGATTATACAGATATAAACTAGAAGATTTTTCTAGGGAAAAAATAGGCTATTGGTTGTAAACTTTTTTTTTGACTTTGACTGCTGCCACAATTTTATTAAATGATGTATGTTAATTACCAGTTCTATTTGTTTTATTAAATGATATATGTTAATTACCACTTCTATTTGTAAAACAAGAGTAAACACCAACTATCTGAATCCCTGCTCTTACATATTTTACAGTCTTCCAAACTCTTTTTTCTCTTTAAATCAGAAGTCTCCAAATGAAAAAAACAAAAATAAGTTGACTGAAACTCAGAAGGTAAAGAAATAAAAATGATCCTATTTATGAAGCAGGGATACCATTTTTTCATTTCCGCATGTCGACAATTTCAGATTCTCTCTAGTTAGAATTTGTTCCTGATGTTAATTTTCCCACGTATTATTTTTTCATGTAACCCATATTCAACTCTCCAAGAAAAGCTATGTTTTCTCAATTTATTTTAATATTATTCCATTGTTAAAAATAAAGGGCTTCTCCTAGGGCTAATTTGGTGGCTCCGTTATTCATGTAAACTTGAAAACTCTTGCCATCCAAGATTAGGATCCTTTTGAGTTTTAGAGTTCCTCTAAGAACTCAAGAATTACCATTATTTGCCTGTTTTTCTCACTGTTGCAGGAATATTTCTATGTCAATCATTCAGATACTAGCGTTCAACATTTCTCAGTTGTGTTGTACATTTTTTTCATTTTCTTTTCTTACTTGAACTTCTTCTACCTTCCTTTTCAGATTCAGTTTCCCCTATACTTCATAAGGTTAAATTACTCACTTTTTCTTCTTTGTTAAGAGCCAGGAATCACCGCAGTTTTCATCCAGGATCTTTTCACTTTCCTTTTGCATTTTTCCTAAGTCCCTCACTTAAATGTATGAACAAAAACATCTTATGGAAAATTGATTATTATAGATTCAGTAACACATGAGCACTTCTATTTTCATAACTATCAAAGACATACTCATATTCACCTTTCAGCAGTTACTAAGTACGTGAACCTGAAAATAACAACAAAACAAACCCTTAAGTGTGTGTTAGTGGGAGGAAGGAAGAAGCATGCCAGAGAAAGAGAAACTGCTCATTTTTGGTGGTGTATCAGTTTCTCATGCAAATTTATTGCAAATACCTTCTACTCTATGGCTTATCTTTTTCCTATCTTCTTGTGTCAATGAAGAGGTTTTAAATTTTAATAAATCATTTATCAAACTTTATGCTTCTTATGATTTAATAAATATTTCTGTAAGCTGCAGGCATGGAGATTTTTCTTTGTGGTTTTGCACCATTGACTGTAATTAACTGGGAGCTTGTTAATAATGAGAGTTTTCTTTCATTTTTTCCCATATGTCTACCAAATTCCAATAACATTTACTGAACATCTTATTCTTTTACCACTGCTCTGCTGGGCCAGCTCTGTCATAAATCAAGTGTTCCTTTGTGGGTGGGCTTGTTTCTGGAGTCCATTCCATCTTATGGTTCTATCTCTGCTTCATCAACAGATAATCTTTTTATGTTTTTTACTACAACTTTATAGTAAGTCTTGATGTCAAGTAGAATAGGTCTTCTTTGTATTTCTGTATACATTTTAGAATGAGCTTGTCAAGTCACACACACACACACATGCACACCCTAGTTGAGAATTTGAATGACACTAAATCTTTAGGTAGGATTTAGGGAGATTTGGCATCTTTATACTTGTGTTCTAGTCTATTTATGTATTCTTTAATGTTTCTGTATTAAACATTATAATCTTATACATGTTTCACTAGGTTTATTTCTATTTAGTTGCTATTTTTTGATACTAGAATAAATACCTTTTTTCTCATTGGTTTTGCTGTTATATAGAAATATAATTAATTTTTGTATATTGATTTTAAATCCAGCAACCTGCTAAACTCTGATTCTAATACTTTTGTAACATCTCTTATTAACTCTAAAATTATATCTGTAGATTCTTTTGAATTTTCTGCATACACAAATCATATATTGTGTGGATATTGATAGAATTTTCCTCCTTTTCAATCATCTAACTTCCATCAAGATTTCATCTTTGTCCTAAGGTGACTTATTTAGAAATGTATTGGTTAATTTCTAAACATAGGGATTTTCTATTTATCTTTTTTTTACGAATTTTTAGAATAATTTAATTTTAATCAGAATATATGCTCTGAATGACTTCAATCACTTTAAATTTGTTGAGACTGGTTTTATGACCCAGTATATTAACATTTTGTAAATGTTTCGTGTGAGCTTGTAAAGAATATGTATTTTGCAGTTGTTGAGTACAAATGTTTCATACAGGTTTATTAAACCATGTTTGTTGTTTTGTTCAAATTTCTGCATCCTTGCTGATTTTCTTTGCCTGATAGATTTTTGCAGTTATTGAAAAACGTATGTTAAAATCTACTCTGTGAATTTTTCTTCTTGTGCTACTGTCATACACATTTAGACTTTTATATATGAGTGGTCAATGAAATCTTTTATTACCATGCACTGACCTTTATCTCTAGTAATGCTTTTTGCCTTGAAACAAAAAACCAAAGTATAACACAATGCTTTCTATCACTTAGAATTTTTATTTTATCTTTATTGGTAAAATTCTTGATTTATTTCAACATATATATATTTACTAATGTGTCAGTATTGTGTACATATATTAAAGGGGAAATATATGTGTAATAAATTGGCTAATGTCTTCCTAAAACTGCTTCACTTTAGAGTTCAATTTTTCTGAACCTCTTTTAAATTTAGAGTTTTTGGCACCCATATTTTTCCACAAAATAGTGTCTTCTGGGCCATCAAGAATGTCAGCGATGCATATTTCTGTAGAGTGTGCATAATTATTGTCTTCATTTTATAAGTTTTGATGCTGGCACTTTCTTGATCTCTCCAAAATTTCTCGGTAGAAGGTTTCAGACAAGAACCAGGAATCACATTTTTTCTACATATGGTTAAATGGTTTGTTGACTGAAACATTAAAGAGTTGTAATAGTCTAGTCATACTATCATGATTAACAACCACATCACTAAGAGATGAGATTCTTATTTAACTTTTCAGGTAAATGTCCATGGAATCATTGAGAACCAGAATATATAGTAGATTCTCAGATGTCTATTCCAGAAGACTTCTAATCAGTCTTCTGTCACCATAGGCATTATCCATCCACTATTGTGGTTCACTCTTAATAATATCTTTGAAAAAGTTCTTAAAAAAATTTTTTTTATTATACTTTAAAGTTCTGGGATACATGTGCAGGTTTGTTGCACAGGTATACATGTGCTATAATGGTTTGCTGTACCCATCAACCTGTCATCTACATTAGGTATTTCTCCTAATGCTATCCCTTCCCTAGGCCCCCACCCCCTGACAGGCCCTGGTGTGTGATGTTCCCTTACCTGTGTCCATGCGTTCTCATTGTGCAACTCCCACTTATGAGTGAGAACATGCGGTGTTTGGTTTTCTGTTCTTGTGTTAGTTTGCTGAGAATGATGGTTTCCAGCTTCATCCATGTCCCCGTAAAGGACAGGAACTCATCCTTTTTTTATGGCTGAATAGTATTCCATGGCGTATATGTGCCACATTTTCTTTATCGAGTCTATCATTGATAGGCATTTGGGTTGGTTCCAAGCCTTTGCTACTGTGAACAGTGCTGCAGTAAACATGTGTGCATGTGTCTGTATAGTAAAATGATTTATAATCCTTTGGGTATAAACCC